AGGCCCCAGTGACAGGGTTCGCATGGCGGCCCCGCATTTTGGCGCACCCCTCACACGGTTCGTGGCCCCATAGGCCATAGGGAGCTCCACCGAAGGCCCCAGTGGCAGGGTTCGCATGGCGGCCCCGCGTTTTGGCGCACCCCTCACACGGTTCGTGGCCCCATAGGGAGCTCCACCGAAGACCCCAGTGGCAGGGTTCGCATGGCGGCCCCGCCCCATTTTGGCGCACCCCTCACACGGTTCGTGGCCCCATAGGGAGCTCCACCGAAGGCGGCAGTGGCAGGGTTCGCATGGCGGCCCCGCCTCAGTTTGGCGCAGCCTTCACACGGTTCGTGGCCCCATAGGGAGCCCCACCGAAGGCCCTAGTGGCAGGGTTCGCATGGCGGCCCCGCCCCATTTTGGCGCACCCCTCACACGGTTCGTGGCCCCATAGGGAGCCCCACCGAAGGCCCCAGTGGCAGGGTTCGCATGGCGGCCCCGCCCCATTTTGGCGCACCCCTCACGAGGTTCGTGGCCACATTGGGAGCTCCACCGAAGGACCCAGATGCAGGGTTCGCATGGCGGCCCCGCCCCATTTTGGCGCACCCCTCACGAGGTTCGTGGCCACATTGGGAGCTCCACCGAAGGCGTCAGTGGCAGGGTTCGCATGGCGGCCCCGCCTCAGTTTGGGGCACCCCTCACACGGTTCCTTGCCCCATAGGGAGCTCCACCGAAGGCCCCAGTGGCAGGGTTCGCATAGCGGCCCCGCCCCAGTTTGGCGCACCCCTCACACGGTTCGTGGCCCCACAGGGAGTTCCACCGAAGGCCCCAGTGGCAGGGTTCGCATGGTGGCCCCGCCCCATTTTGGCGCACCTCTCACACGGTTCGTGGCCACATTGGGAATTCTTTTCTCTTCGTCCCATCTGCCCTGCGGTATTCGCATTTGCATAGCCTGGCGAAGAACCCAACCATATGTAGTAATGAATGCCGCAACAGTGAATATCGTCTTCGGTGGAGCTCCATATGGGGCCACGATCCTCGTGAGGGTGTGCCGAAATGGCCCGAGGCCGCCATGCGAACCCTGCCACTGCCGCCTTCGGTGGAGCTCCCTATGTGGCCACGATCATCGTCAGGGGTGTGCCGAAATGGCCCGAGGCCGCCATGCGAACCCTGCCACTGGCGCCTTCGGCGGAGCTCCTATGGGGCCACGATCCTCGTGAGGGAAGTGCCGAAATGGCCCGAGGCCGCCATGCGAACCCTGCCCCTGGCGCCTTCGGTGGAGCTCCCTATGGGGCCACGATCCCTGTGAGGGGTGTGCCGAAATGGCCCGAGGCCGCCATGCGAACTCTGCCACTGGCGCTTTCGGTGGAGCTCCTATGGGGCCACGATCCTCGTGAGGAGTGTGCCGAAATGGCCTCAGGCCGCCATGCGAACCCTGCCACTGGCGCCTTCGGTGGAGCTCCCTATGGGGCCACTATCCGTGTGAGGGGTGTACCGAAATGGCCCGAGGCCGCCATGCGAACCCTGCCACTGCCGCCTTCGGTGGAGCTCCCTATGTGGCCACGATCCTCGTGAGGGGTGTGCCGAAATGGCCCGAGGCCGCTATGCGAACCCTGCCACTGGCGCCTTCGGTGGAGCTCCCGTTGGGGCCACGATCCTCGTGAGGGGTGTGCCGAAATGGCCCGAGGCCGCCATGCGAACCCTGCCACTGGGGCCTTCGGTGGAGCTCCCGTTGGGGCCACGATCCTCGTGAGGGGTGTGCCGAAACGGCCCGAGGCCGCCAAGCGAACCCTGCCACTGGGGCCTTCGGTGGAGCTCCTATGGGGCCACGATCCTCGTGAGGGGTGTGGGCGACGATGCAAATGTTCCCTGGCTTGAGACCGGGAATCGGGTTCGTAGTTCGGGCCTCCTGGATGGGGACGAAAGGGGGGGGATCCATCTCACAAGCCTACAGACCCACGAGGGGTCGGCGGAGTCGTTGGCCAATGCCTCGAGCAACGTGGGCTCGACAACGTGGGCGCACTATGCCTTCGAGAATACCCTTTCGGACTCGTCAGGGAATGGGCAACATTTTGTGTCGGGGAGCTCGTGGAGCCCAACCTACGTAGCAGGAGTTAGTGGACAAGCTGTGTATTTGAATCAGGCCTCAGAAACTTATGCGGGTAGTTCACATTCTTGGTTGAAGGGCCCAACGATAAGCAAAGCGGATGTGTCGGGCCAATTCTTCGAGATCTCGTTCTACCTCGCGATGGTGAGCCAAGGTTATTATCACGGCGAGTGGCTGCTCACTTTCACTTCGATAGGCGACTCGACTAATACGGTTCCCCTACTGATGAAAGGGCACGGCGGCGGTGACTTGACATTCGGACCGTCCAACACCGTCGTATTGAGTGCGGCCAACGTGTGGACCAGCGCGTGGCACGCCGTCAAGCTCTCGACCGCAGATCCTTGCAGCTCTTCCACCTGGACACTCGACTTCGATGGGACAACCTACTCTGCTGCATCGGTTCCTTCAATTTGCGGCAGGGAGCTCCACCTGAACCGCCATTGCTGGGCCGGCGGGCAGTCTTGCTCATCGCGGATCAACATGATGATTGACGAAATGGTGATCACGAGCGGCGTCGCCAATCCGCCAACCCCGAGCCCGACGGCCACTCCGACGCCCAGTCCGACGCCCAGTCCGACTTCCAGCCCGACGGCCAGCCCGACGGCCAGTCCGACGCCCAGTCCGACGGCCAGCCCGGCGCCGAGCGTGGCTGCCACTGGTGACCCCCACCTTCAAAACATCTTCGGGGAGCGTTTCGATCTGATGAAGCCAGGCGTGCACGTTCTGATAAACATCCCTCGTGGAGTGAGCGTCGAAAACGCATTGCTTCGCGTGCAGGCCAGTGCTCGCCGATTGGGTGGACAGTGCGCGGACATGTACTTCCAAGAATTGAACGTCACAGGGTCGTGGGCAGAGGCCAAACAGGTTGGAGGATATCATTACAGCGTGTCGCAAAATGCAGTCGAGATCCCGCAATGGATTGTGTTTGGTCATGTCGAGCTGAAAGTCGTTCACGGACATACGGACGAGGGGCTATTGTATCTGAATATTTATGCGAAACACTTAGGTCGTGCAGGATTTCCGGTCGGTGGCCTATTGGGGGAGGACGACCACGAAGACGTGACTACTCCTCTAGAGGAGTGTGCGAGGCGCATTGAGCTCGATTCGGCGCACGTGGATCCAAACGATCTCAGCCGCTCTACGTCCTGGATTGCACGTGCATCCTTAGCCTGACAAGTTCAGGAGCCTACTCCGCTTCACTACTCATCTTTCCTGTTCCCCTTGGAAGGCCGTGTGATGAGCCAGTTCTGTTCTTTCTGCGATTTCCCGCCAAGCCACTTCGGATCCATGCCTTGCCTGTCGCTTGCGCGAGTAAAACGAGTCATGCAAGCGATCGCGTTCATGGCGAACTCTGCCTCGGAATTCCCCGGGCGGCTTGCTGCGCGCGGGCAGCTCGAGGTTGACCTGGCGGCGCAGAGGGAAGGGCGTGCAGGCGCCGCCGGGCTCTGAAGCCACGACTTCTGCAACGCAGAAGCCTCCGCTTCCGAGCCAGGAGCGCCGATCTCGAGCCGATCCAGCCGAGTTTCGAGCTTGCCGTGATCCCACGGTGCGGTTCATCATCGTGAACATAACCCCTAAACTTGATAACGCAGTGAGGACGTGACCCAATTTAGCCCCCCGTCTTTGCATGAGGGAAAATCGATGTGGGTGGTTTGGTCTGGTGCATCTGCTGAAAAGAACCCCTACCCCTGATGCTTGGGCCCCTTGGCCTGGGCCCGATCCACAAGGGCTAGTGGCATTTTTTTCCTAAGCTCAACTCAGATCTTTCGGCGGCGCGCCCAGTGGAGAAGCGAACCTCGTGTGGGGGTGGGTTGTGCCATCGTGACTGCTGCTGGGCCACGTGCCTCCAGCGTCGACCTCCAGAGCCGACCCTCTCGAGAGATGGTCGGCGCGATGCCGACTCCCCAGTTTGACCAGGACCGCAGACCGGCCGTTCTGGTGGGACCTCGCCTTGTTGATGCACGCGCGCGCACGCACCAACCCTGGCCCTGGCCGTCGGAATCAAAGGCGCTGGTGCATCCGGGGGACGGGGAGGCGTGGGCAGCAGATCCCCAGGAGGACGACGGGGAGAAAGAGGAGGAGGAGGAGGACGAGGAGGAGGACGAGGACGAGGAGGAGGAGGAGGAGGCGGAAGAGAGAAAGAGGAAGAGGAGGAGGAGAGGAGGAGGAGGAGGAGGAGGAGGAAGGAGGAGCAGGAGGAGGAGCAGGAGAGGAGGAGGAGGAGGAGGAAAAGGAGGAGGAAAAGGAGGAGAGGAGGAGAGGAGGAGTGAGGAGGAGGAGGAGGAGGAGGAGGAGGAGGAGGAGGAGGTGGAGGAGGAGGAGGAGGAGGAGGAGGAGCTCGAGGAGGAGGAGCACGAGGAAGGCCTTGCTTGCTAAGCTCCACTCCGATCTTTCGGCGGCGCTCCCAGTGGAGAAGCGAGAGGGGGCAGGGCGGATAGGCTTCCAGCCCGTTTGCTGCGCTTTTCGGGAGCAGGCTCGGGAGAGTTTTTGCGAAGCCTCTCCGGAGGCCGAAGAGGCCTTCCGAGAGAAGGCTTCTTCCCCCCCCCCTCCGGTCACTGCCTCCCCTCTGGGCACGCCGCCGGCCTGTTGTTTATGGCGAGGGGTATAGAGTACATAATCCGAGTTGTCGCCGATCCGAGGGAGAGTTTCGGATCTGAGATCAGCTGCTGCTCGTCCTCCTCCTCCTCCTCCTCCTCCTCCTCCTCCTCCTCCTCCCTGCTCCAGGGCGGGCGCGACGACGACGACGCCCACGACCTCGGGGGGCACAGCGTCCACGCCCACAGCGGAAACGCGACTCCCGCGCCCACGCCCACAGCGAAAACGCGACGACCTCCCTCGACCCCCGCGACGGCGACGGCGCCCATTCCCATGCCCACGACGACGGCGCCCACGCCGCGGGCGGGCGGCCCGCCAGGCCTTCTTCTACAAGTATGTCATCAGGAGCATGAACGGGACAAAGCTCGCGACCACGCAGATGTTGAAGCCCGCCACTGGCGAGGTCGGGCATCGTGCTTCTACCCATTTGGTCTCCCTCGCAGGGGCAGGGGGGAGCGGGGAAGAGGTCGGAGGAGGAGGAGGGACGCATATCGTTACCTTCGCCTAGTCTTCAATTTTTTTTTTGTGGGGGGGGCTTCTTGGGAGGCTTTCGTCGCCACCGCTGCATTCACTTCGAAATTTTGACCAAAACGCACCCGTGAAGAGGTCTAGGGAGTAGCGGTACATATGTTTCCCCACCCGCGGTCTTTTTCGCAGGGGGATGGGGGAGGAAAGAAGGTGGGTCGGGGTTGGAGGCAGGTGAACGGGATGGAGGGGAGAACGAAGGAGGGATGGGGAGCAGAGGGCGAGGAGGAGGAGGATGCTGAGGGCTGAGGTGGAGAAAGAGGATGAGGAGGAGTCGAAGGACGGAGAGGACGAAGAGGGAGGACGAGGAGGGTATCAGGTGAGGCGGCCCTCCAGATGGGGAGAGTCCGTGCACCGCGACCGCGACTCGCCCAGTCGGCATTGATCGAGGCCCCCCATTCCTTGGCATCGCCCGGACGTGTGTCTCGGCGGGGTCCATCGAGGAGCATCCTGGGTCATCTCGCGGAATAAAAACCGCTCACGAGATCGAAGGATGCACGGGAAATGGACGTCCGAGCGATGGCAATATTCGCATCGGGTGCAGAGGGGCCCAGAGGAAAAGAGACATGCCGAGATTTATGACCTCCTCTCGCTCTCCCTGCGTTTTGGAATCTTGGGGGGGGTCCTCGCCTCGCCACGGCTGGACTCGCCTCGCCGTCCTGGTCAGGACGCTTCACTTGTGAGATCGGAGAAGCAGCGCCATCTTTATTCCAGGGCGCGCTCGAGGGCGCGAAGTCATTCGCACTTCGCGCTTCGCGCAGCGCGAAGCGCGAAGTTGGGAGCCTGTATTTATTACAGGGGGCCACATGCGAACCCTACCCCTACCCCCCACGATTTCTGAGGGGGAGGGTGTGGAGCTCCCGAGCGAAGTGAATCCCACCCTCCCCCTCAGAAACCGTGGGGGGTAGGGGTAGGGGTCGCAGGTGGCGCCCTTTATCCACAACCCTCCTGTGCTGTTGGATCCTGGCTCTCATGGGGATGGGCGTCGCGCAGAGGGGGGAAGTGCGAGGGGGCAGGCCTTCTCAGCAGGTGGCGGGGCTTCGGAGAGCTTAGACGGCTTCTCGAGAGTCAGGCGATCGCAACACATGGATTAAGGGGGCGTGGATTAGCGACGGGTCCCGTTTCCATGGGAAACCGCGGATTTCCATGGGAGGCGGCATTGGCCGCATCTCGGTGAGGGCACTTCCCCCGATCCATGGATTGGCGACCACGCGCCGAGTCCATGGATCGCCAATCCATGTCTGCGCGCCCCCGGAAGAGGCTGGAGGCCGGAGGAGCTTCCTGGGAAGGCCCGTTCCCTTTGTCGTCACCCCTGGGCGAGGCGCCGAGTTGAGGCCGCAGCGTTGCGCGTCGCACTCCTCCTCGCCCCCCTCCTCCTCTCCCTGCCCCTTCGCTCTTCGCAGGCCCTCCTCCTCCTCCTCCTCCTCCTCCTCCTCCTCCTCCTCCTCCTCCTCCTCCTCCTCCTCCTCCTCCTCCTCCTCCTCTCCCTGCCCCTTCGCTCTCCGCAGGCCCACATCTGCACACCCCTCCAGCGCTTCCTGTCCCACCCGGAGCTCCATCCCGCAGACCCGGCGGGCGCGCAGTCGTGCCGCAGCCCGCCAAGTTCGGCACGCCCCTCACACGCGTTGCGCCCCCGTGGGGGGCTGCCCCTAATCATGAAGGGGCCCCAGGACACATATAAATACACACAAATAAAAGGATTCCCCATATTTTCCCATATTTTCTGGGTTTTTGTCTTCTCCCCCACTTCCCATATTTTCCCATATTTTCCTGGGGGTCGACGATTTATTGTGTCTGTGTGTTTGTTTCCCTCCTGAAATTAGGGCCGCAGTGGGCGCGTCCTCGTGCCACACCCCGCCCATTTCGGCACACCCCTCGCACGTTGGGCGTCCCTGTAGGGTGGCGCTCCCTATACGGCCTCAGTGGGCGCGCCTATTTGCTGCAGGGAAGGCTCGCGTCGATTCGACAGGCGACCCCGCCGTCCACGTTCAACGTTGAACCCCGCTGGCGACCCAGAATCGGTTGATGTAGAATGATCTGACGTTTCGGACGCGGCCGATGGTTCAAGATTGCACGATCCCCACGGTGTCAAAGACCAACGCCGAAGTCGGCACGACATGAACCTGCTGTATCGGGCTTACGGTTCGTCCCTTGCAGACTCTCCTGAGATGGGGCGGATTTTCTCAGAAGGTTCAGAAGGTTTCGGCTTCCTGGTGAGTTTGCGGAACCTCCGAAACCACATAGGGCCTCCCAGCAAGCCAGAGAGCTTCCGAGAAGCACCGCTGACTTCTGATGTTCTGCCTTCTCTCGCTGCCCCTTCGGCGCGCCGACAAGGGTCCGAAAGGTTATTTGAGAGGCAGCTGCCGTATACAGTCCATTATTTGCACACCCCACTCGCGGGTCATGCCCCCGCAGTGTCTTCGGCGCGCTTGCGGCGTCTCTGCTCCGCAGTCCCCTGTCCGAGAGGCTCCGTGGCGCGCATCTGGTGTGCAGAGAGGTCCACGCCCTGCACCCTGCGCAGCCGCGCAGGGTCGGGCCCTTCGCCGTACGTTCACAAAGGAGCCCGTCGGTAGTTCTGTTTTGCCCTCTGGGCCATAACTCAGAGGAGGAAAAGGTGCTCCACATCCTTCAATAAGCACCCCCCTCGCGCCAACCTGTCCGACGCCCCTTTCCCCGCCCCCCCACGCGCCCCAAACCCAGCCCCTCTCGCTCCCCAACCTCCCCACGCCCCCCGAAGGACAGCGGCTTCCCACCCACCCCACGCGATCGCCCCCCCACGCTTTTTGGGAGACCCGGAGTACCCTTGCCCACCATCCTTGCCGCGCTCTGGCATGTTCGGGCCTGGGAGGCCCTCGCCGCCACCGCGGAAGTCGCCCCGGAATGCTGGTCCGAACGCACCCGTGAGGGGTCCGTGGAGCAGCTTTTCCGGCACCTTTTGACTACCCCAAGAACGCACGTTATCAGGCCAGCCACATTTGGGGGAGCTGTGATCCTTACCCCCCTGGGGGGCCCATCGATTTCGACACCCCTCTCGAGAGATCATCGATTTGATGGGTTCCCCCAGGGGGGTAAGGACCACAGCTCCCCCAGTTATGACTCGTCGGCGTTATGCCCTCCATCCGTTTCCCCCTCCCATCACGAAGTGCCCCCCAATTGCGCCCCTGGCACTGCCGCAGTGCGTCCGGCGCCACAGTCTGTCAGGGTGCTTGGCGGGGGCGCTACACGATGCCTCTCCCGCCGCCCCCTCCCCCTCCCATAACATCCCGTATCGCCGTGGGAACAGTGCCCTCGTCGTGCCACGGACTCTGGGCTCGTTTCGATTCCTCCGATTCGATTCGATGAGATTTCGATGGCTTCCGATTCCGATTCGATTCGATTTGGGAATCCGACTTGGGTTCCGATTTCCCATTGGACGCATACTAGCCTGCCGATTTGCGCCGATTCGACGTCGGCTGCTGATTCCTGCCGACCCGATTCATGTCGACTGCCGATCCGTCTCGTGGATTCGATCCTGGGCTTATGTCGGGCGTGTCCCCCTACAGGGGGATTTTCGACGAAAGTAAACAAACACAAAAGAAAACATAAATGCCCCAAAGATGCCAAAGATACTAAAACATAGTCCCCATACTATATACATACATATATATATATACATTTATAGATATGTATATATATATATAGATGTTTTTTTATTTTTCGTCGAAAATCCCCTGTAGGGGGACAGGCCCGACTTAATCCCGGGCTTCCCTGCGGACTGGCTGCCGCGTAGCGAGCGAGCGAGCGGGCGAGCCTGGCCCACACGCATCCGGAGGAGCGCGCAAGGCGGAGCAGGCAGCAGGAGCGCAGGCGGAGCCTGTACGCCGCCCGCATGTGTTTGAGTCGGGCATGCCCCTGTACATCCTCCCCCTCTTCCTCCTCCCCCTCCCCCTCCCCCTCTCCCCTCTCCCTCTCCCCCTCCCCCTCCTCCTCCTCCTCCTCCTTCTCTCCTCCTCCTCCTCCTCCTCCTCTCCTCCTCCTCCTCCCCTCCTCCTCCTCCCCTCCTCCCCTCCTCCCCCTCCCCCCTCCTCTCACCCTCCCCCTCCTCCTCCCCCTCCCCTTCTCCCCCTCCTCCCCCTCCTCTTCCTCCTCCTCGTCCTTTTCCTCCTCCTCAGGAACGTTCAAGAATAGTCAAAAGATAGGCTGGGGACGATTTGTCGAGCATGTTTGTTCATTTTCGGGTATTGTTTGATTTTGTAGATTGATTTTTTGTTGCCATTCTGGCATTTCCGCCCGTAGGGGGACATGCCCGACCTGAGTATATCGGGAGCGTCTGGACACATTTTTTCGTCGGCAGCGGGGCGGGACGATCCGCTCCAGCCTGGCAGCGATGCAGAGGCATTGCAGAGCGAATTGGCCAGCATGCAGGAGGAGTGGCAAGGAAAAGGCAGCCGCGGGGGGAGGAGAAGGGCGACCACTCAGAGGCGGAATACTTCCGCCATGAGCAGCCAGAGCGCCGCGGAGCGTCTGCCGGGCAGTCCGCAACAGCAAGCGCGATGCGCCGAGCAAGGGGTGAGCGACGCAAGAACAGGGGGTCGTCTGCGCCGACACTGGCGCGTAAGCTGCCCGCGCAAGGCCGCGCCTACGCGCCCTCGTCCCCACTATGGCGTGCTGCGGTTGTGGCCCGCGTGAGCCGCGGCGTAAGGTCGCTATGCTTTGTCGCTTGAGGCCCGTTTTTGATCGTCTCGCAGATTTCGCTCTTTGCTGCCGCGGGCGACCTTGTCGACGATTGCTGGCCCAGTTGCGCGGGGTGCTGCTGTCAGGGTTGCACAGAACGCCCCGCTGCGTCGCGGGACGCGAACGAGGGCACGCGTCGTGAGACACGTTCACGGCGCCGGAGGT